GATAACATTATTCTCTTTTGCAAATAAAAAAAAAGAGGGGGGAAAGGTACGATTCATCCTCTCCGTTCTGCAAAGGAGTGGGAATTCAGCTACAGAGTCACACGCCAGCAAGCCAGCAAGGTTAATTAGCTTGCCTGATTGCATGTTAATTTACTCACATGAAACACAACACACAGTCAATGCAAGACGGTCTGGATTTCCCAGTACTTTAAAGAAAGCTCCAGTGCAGGGGATCCAACCGAACTGAAACTCGGCACCAGGGCAAGAGGAAAGTCTTGGCCCCAACAGAGGAGGATGTACCCAAATATTTAACCCAGTGTTTATCTTCTAATGGCCCTGGAACCTCACTAGCTTCTATGGTGGTCTTCAAAGACTTTGTTTGGAGGTCTTTAAACTGAGGTTGGAGAACATCTGTCAGGAGGGCTATAGCTGCCTCTCCTTGCAAGGTAGAGGGTTAGACTAGATGTGCCTTGCAGGAACTTCCAGCTCTTACAGTTCTATGCCTATGTTGTGTCTTCCCGCACAGCAGGGGTTGGACTAGCTGGCCCTTGTGGCCCCTTCCAACTATGATTCACCAAGTTAAAGAAACCATGCCAAGGCCTAAATATGCCAAGATCATGCCCTTCTGATGGCTGATCCAAAGAACCTGATGGTACCCCCTTACATCCCATGTCCAAAAGCGATAGCTTGGGAAAGTGACTTTTGTGGAGCATGGAGCCCAGAATTTCCCAGACTGTGTAGCCAGTGCAGCCTTTGAGCCCCATCACAAACCTGCCAAATACAAGAACCAAGTATTTGTGGCTGTCCAGAGGCTGGCAAAACAAACATGGTTCCCCACCCCTCTCTCTTTAGACTGAGGGTTCTTTGCCACCCTGTCAATTTTAAATCATGACTTTTTAATTCAATATATATTCTTATTTTATGTATTTTAATGGTTTTATAGTATTGTATTTTAACTGTGTGCTTTTAATTGTGTTTGGTATTTTAACAAAGTCTCAAACAGGGAAAGTCTCAAACAGGGAAAAAGATATGTTGCCAAACTTCAGAATAACAAGCCATGGGTAACATAGTTACCAATAGTTACCTGTAACCTGTTATTTCTTTCCTCTTTCTCACAAGGGTGTAACAAGATCAATTGGAAAAGTAGCACAGCTGGTGGGAAAAAGTTACTTCACTGCCATGAAGAATCCAATAGTGGCTGGTGAATCCCATGTCAGACAAGTGGTACATCCACTCCATATTTTAGCCCAAATTTTAAAGGAGTGACCCAAGGTGTCACCCAACTTTCACTGAATGACCCGAATAATGAACCATAGCCCCAAAGGAGGTTCAGCACCTTGGATAGTGCCCTTAAAAGTTTACTGAACAGATGCATGAGCTGTTACTGGAAAAGCTAGCAACTAAACAAGCCATGGAAATAAGACTTTTTAAGGAAAAAAATACACCACCACAGCAAGAACTGACAGTGAATGACTTTGAAACACTGTAATGAGTAAGGGCTTGGATCCTAGCTATCTGAAAAACCACATCTCCGCACATGATCTGGCCCCAGTTTTGAGATCCTGAGGGCAGGCTTCCTTGCCAACTCACCGCTGTCATGGGCACATTTGCTGAGAGCATTGTTGTTACTGATGTGTGTCTCCAAGTCATTTTTTTTACTTATGGAAACCCTAAGGTGAACCTATCATGAGGTTTTCTTGGCATATTTCTTCAGATCAGGTTTGCCATTGGCATCCTCTGAGGCTGAGAGAGTGTGACTTGCCTAAGGTTACCCAATGGGGGGTATGACTGAGTAGGGATTTTAACCCTGGTCTCCAGCGTTATAGTCCAATACTCAATCCACTACACCATGCTGGCATACCCTCCAACATTTCACAGGTGAAAACCCGGGCATGAGGCCAAGCAACATCAGAGTGTGGTCAAGATAGCAAAAGGTATGAATGAGGAAGAATAGACAAGCTAGGAGAGGCTGTAGCAGTTTGCTTTTGCCCAAGTCTCCTGGAAAGGGTAAAAGTTTGCCCCCTTCTCGCTTCTCCCTGCCACCCTTAAGATAACTGAGTGCAAATTACTTTTGCACTTGGAATTCAGTTTCTAGCAATTGAAGTAAGCTGAGGGTGAAAGGGGAAAGTGAGAGGAGGAGAGAGGAACCGGGACATTTTAAAAGCAGCTGAGCAAGTGGGACAGTAAAGGATTAACTGGGGCTGCCACAGCCAAGCCAGGATATTTGGAAAGTATTCCATAGCATAGCTCTCCAGGCAGGCTTCTTCTCAATCCCAGGCTCATGGGGAATGTCTGCTGGAGGCCCAGAACAACCATGATGCTGGAGGAGCAGGGGAAATGGGCTTGACATAGAGTAGAAAAGAGGCAAACACATGGACCATGGAAAGCTGGGATGGTCCAGGGAGTTGGGGGAAGGGAGGCAGGCTACAGCTGCACTCTGGCTGGCCCTTGGTGGTTCTTGCCCCCATTTCATCACCCAGAGAGGGCACCCAGGATGGGCTGCCCACCTTTCAAAGGTCTTATGGTTCCCAGCTTTTCTTAGTCGGGCCTCTTTCTATAGTGACTCTGGCCCAGTGGCTCTCCTCTGACAGTTTCCTGGCTCTCACCCCATCACTAACCAGGTGCCCCTTGTGGCACATGGAGGTGGGGTGCCCCTACTGCCCTCCTCCCATTCCTTAGCTCCCTGGAAAGCATTCTTGCTCCCCCCACCCACCCGCCAGACTCAAGATGCTTTGGATTGTGTCTGACAACCATGAAATGAGCAATGGAGCAGATGCAGAGTCATCCAAATTACCCAGGAATTATCTCCCACCATCTGGATCCCAATGCCAGCCAGAATGTATTTTTAGGGTTGGCGGGGAGGTACCCTCTGTCTCAGCTCTCCATATGCCATCATATGGCTGCAGTATCCTGAAAGTATGTCTCACAGCGGCCTGTCATGCAGCACAGAAGAAATGCAATCCAAATATCTTTTCTTTTCTTTTCTCTTTTCTTTCTCTCCCTCTTTCTTTCTTTTTCATTTCTATTCCCCCTCCCTCCCAATATGACACCCAAAAGGGCTTCCTGTAGCAGTTAAAATAAAGCAGAGCTAAAACAATATACAAAAGGTTTCTTTAAAATGAAATTCAAGAAACCGTCCTGAAAACATTTGGTAAAAAAGATTGTAAACCCCACTCATCACCAAACTACAAAGCCCAGAATTCCATAGCATTGAGCCATGGCAGTTAAAGTGGTGTCAAACTGTATTCATTCTGCAGTGCAAATGCAGCCCTAGCCAGCATAGCCAGGACAGGAGTGAGGGATTATCTATCTATCTACTCTTTGTCACTGTGTGCCTTCAAGTTGCTTCTAACTGATGGCTATCCTAAGGCACACCTATCATGGGGTTTTCTTGGCAGGTTTCTTCAGCGGGGGGTTGCCATTGCCATCCTCTGAAGCCAAGAGAGTGTGACTTGGCCAAGGTCGCCCAGTGGGTTTACATGGTCAAGCCAAGATTTGAACCTTGGTCTCCAGAGTCCTAGTCCAATGCTCAAACCACTACACCACTCTAACTATCTGTTTATCTATTTAATACCCTGCTTGTCTTCTAGCAAGGGACTCAAGAGCAGCCTGATTTTTTGAAATGCACAGTCCAGCTAAAATTGTGTGTACAAAAGTTTTGGTTTTTGGGGTGTTTTTTTTCTTTTTATAAATAAACTAGATAATTTAAAAGTTTGACAGCAGTGTCCAAACTTCCTCAAGAATGTAGGTTCTTCAAGGCAGCCTGGATCTTCTTTGCTCATATAATGGTGTCTGAAATGGTTGTATAAAGGGTTTCTCCAGCCCTCACTGACTTGCTCTGTCATGCTGTCATCTTGGCATTTGGCTACCTGCCCCAGTTCAAAAGGAAGGCAGAGGAGGCCCAGTGGTGGCTTGTATGACAACTCACATTAAGCAGCTGCATGTAACTTGCTGACATTTATAGATTTTTACCTAATGCTGGAAATTAAGGTAATTGCACCCGGGGCCAATTAATTTCACTAAACTTTGGAGGAGAGACTAAGAGAGAGACGCAGCCACCGATGCTTGATTAAAAGTGAAGGCTTCGGTGCTGCTCTTCTTCTCCTGATGCTTTGCTATTTTTTCCCTTTTATCCTGATGATCCCAGAAAGAGGCGGAAAGCTGAGTAATCTGCCATCCTTGCTCTATATGCCAAGCTTCACCAAAACAAAGCTAGGAAACCCATGATGCATTGTAACAACCTCCCCAAATTATGCAAAGGAAGCATATTTGAAACCACACACTTTTTGTGCATCCTTGATTCTAATGTTATAATTCAGGCTGCATCCGTACTGCGGAAATAATCTGGTTTGACACCACTTTAACTGTCCTGACTCAATGCTATGGAATTCTGGGAATGGTAGTTTGCTGCAGCACCAGTTCAAGAAAACAGGACTGTTGAGCCAACTGCAGTGTTTGGCATGAAAGGCCCCTCCAGGAGTTTATTCTTATCCCAGCCCTCTTTGTCTTCCATGCCTGGCCTTCCATCTATTTAAATCCCTTTTAAAATCCCTTGGCTCCCTTGCTCAGAATATCTGACATAGTCTCCCACCCCCTTTTGTCCATGTTCTCTTTCTCTTATTTCTCCTCCTGGGAAGGTGACAGTGTCTCTGATGTATTCTCACCCTCTGAATTTCCCAGAAGAAGGGAAGGCAGTATTTTGGTCTGTTTTTCAGGCTGCTTCTGGACAGAGGGCTCCTACCAACTCAGAGACATTTCATATTTAATTCCTTGGTGGTTTTGTGTGTGTTAGACATTGTATTTCTGCAATCCAAGAGGATTCACACCTAGGGGTGGAACCAGTACTGGATGAAAACACATTGGCTGAAAACATTATTCAAAAAGAAGCATATTATTCAAACAGAAAGGACAATGAAATTTGAAATAATACAGCTTTATATTTTGGTAGAAATTATAGTTATCTCAGCTCTGATTTATATGCACTAGAAGAAATAATGTGAGCCAGTGTGGCATAACGGTTTGAGCATCAGACTATAACTCTGGAGACCAGGTTTGATTCCCAGTTTGGCCATGAAACCCACTGGGTGACCTTAGGTGAGTCACACACTCTCAGCCTCAGAGGAAGGCAAAGGTCCTTCTGAACAAATCTTGCCAAGAAAACCCCAGACAGGGTTGCCTGAGAGATGGCATGAGTTAGAAATAGAATCATAGAATCATAGAATCATAGAATCATAGAGTTGAAAG